GACTAAATTTTGGTTTTGATTTTTTTTTTGTTTTGAAACTTATTGATAACTAAGTTAGTTTTTCCGCTGCTAAATTCTAAACTAGACTTAACGTTTGAACACGTGGCGGTAGCACGTCAGTAATTCTCTTGCAGGTTGTTAAAGGTATTTACAAGTTTTTAAAGAGAGAATTATTGGGGTGTTACACGAGTCGAGTTTGAGCTTGAATTTTCGAGTTTGAGTCGAGCCTAACGAGTTCGAGTCGAGTTTAGTGATACTCCAGCTCGACTCGCATCATAATCATCCCTATCTAGTACCTTATCTGCATTAACTGATAGTTGAGTGCTCAATCTACAATAAAGTCCAAAGTTAAGTACCCAACTTTATGCTTTGATTAGTTTAAGATAAAAGCTAATGATGAATTAATAGGATTATGTTTTAGTTTGCCTTCGTCCCAAGAGGCGTATGCTATGTTTTGGTCTTTGGCCTTAACTTTAAATCTCAATTTGGCTGCTTGTGCCCTGAAATTACAGGAATTTGATTATGTAATTAAGTTATGTTCGTTTGTGTTGAGGTATGATTCCTGTCATACAAAAGGTTTGTTTAGGAGAGCTTTGGCTTTTAAGGGGGTAGGTGATCTTTTATCTGCCAAATCTAACCTTTTTAAGGTACTTAATAGTGATTCGAGGAATGTGGAAGTGTTGAAAGAATTACAGGAGATTGAAAGGTTTTTAGGTTGTGCCTCTTCTATAGCTCTCACTTTGGGGGAAGTTGCTTCTCCAGCCAAACAAGAGGTTTGTGATATGGAGGTCATTCCTAGGGAGTTTCCTAGTGTAGATAACATGGAATGTGATGTTGTAAGTCCTGTTAGTGGAACTCCTCCAATAGTGTCAGATGAGAAGATTTCTCACGATTTGGATAGGGAGTCTACTCCGAAATCAATGCAGTTGGATAATGGTCTGCACTAGCATTGGTTTCGATCCTGTGGTTGTTTTGGTTCATCTCTTCAGATTGCATCATCTAATTTGCAGCGTCTTAAGCACGGTGAAGTGCTTAGTTATTATCATTCTAGGTCTATGTCGGTAATGTCAGTTCGGGTCATCCCGAGTAAAACTCAAATCTTGACAGAGGTCCCCCTAGGTAAAAAATCCAGGGAAGTAGAGACTTCTATTCCTTCGGTTCTTCCTTTCTGTGGCTCGGAGCACCAAGCGGTTCCCTCTCATCAAGTCTTGAGTGCTTCTTCTCAATCGTCCATGGTTAAGGCAGTTGCAAATTAAGTTTCAAATGAGTTAATCAAGCCATCAATATTGCAAGTTAGTATTCCAAAAGGGGCAGCTTCTAAAGGGTTTATAGGCAGTCGTCAGGGTCATAAATTTCGAGTTCTACCTTTGCCTTCCAGGGTCTTATCTCGTCTTAATCATCAACAACGGATTATTTCTCATTCTCGTCTTCGGACGTCAGGTAAGATGTTTTATGATAGGATATTTGTAGGTTGCAGGGTGGATCATGTAGGCTCAAAGTGACGTCCGACTTCATCTTTGTCTCTCGATTTGGAGTCCAGCAAATTAGCTCGTGTGAAGCGCACTCGCGTTGGTCCTTCCTGGGTTTTTGTTGCTTAATGTTGTTTTAGTCGTCTTGTGTGTTTTGTATTGTTGCTTTATTTATAAGATCTTCTTGTCAAAAAAAAAAAAAAAAAAAAAAGAGTTAATGGGATTATATTAATATCTTTCAAAAAAAAAAAAGAATTATATTAATAAAAAGAAAAAGAAAAAGAAAAAAGAAAAAAAAAATACTACGTAAGAAAATTTCCAAAAGATAATTGCGTGAGAGTATCTGACAACTACGTCGGCGGTAAAAGTGACCCTAAAAAGATGGCCGCAAATACTTTATTTTGGTTCTCTACTGGGTCCCACCTCATACAAAATAGTGTAGTTTTCTTACTGTTTTTGGTGTCTCTAAAGTCTAAAGCTCCTACTTTTTGGCGAAATGACGTGCTCAATCCTCACAACCACTACTCACTAGTCACTACAGTAGATTACAACATACAATTACCATAATACCATATCAATCATTCAATCCCCCACCTCTAAATGACCAACCTTTTTAAGAATATTAAACTAATAAATGTTAATGATAATAATTAAATAAGAAAAAACCCAATCCAAAAGAGAATTAACACTATTAACTCCACCCACTTAATTTAAGTAGTACTTTAATAAATTTGACTTTTACATTACTCACATACAAATTATAATATAAATATCAATTCGACCTCGTTGTGTTATATAGTACTCCTTTGTAATCAAGCATAATACAAAAAGTACTTATCTAAATTGTAACCGTTAAAAATAACTTGAAATCTAGTACAATGCCAAAGGGTCAACTTCAAACGCACATATCTCTCAATCCAGAAGTGATCTTGAGACAATTCAAGTTGAAGGTGATAGCTTGTTTCAAGAGCTTTCCAACGATAGGTCATATGCCCAATTTCGATAAGAAACGAGAAAGTTATGGTTGTTTTACGAAAACCTGACAAAGCTGGAAAATTGCGACGAGCGGGCGAGCTATAGCTCTAGGCGAGTGAGCTATAGCTCGGCCCTATGAAGACTTGCGGCAGGCTTGAGCTAGCTGACGGGCTATAGCTCGGTAGTTCGGTTCTTCTAGTATAATTTATTGGATATTTCCTAAAATTATATCTTTTCTTATAACGGCTACTAATGATATTCCTTGGGGAATAATTTAGGGTTTCTTTAGGGTTTTCTAATGTTATATAAGGAGCCGTTGGGTGGACAATTAGAAGTGCTAAAAATTAAATAGCCTAGCCAATTTAAGCCAATATGTAACTCCATTGAGATATTTTGTGAGATGGAGTGTTGTATCTCCTTTATTTTATCTCTTGTTTATCCTCCATGAAAGCTAATGAGAAAATACTATCCCTTACCCTGTGGACGTAGGTCTTGTTGACCGAACCACGTATATTTGTGTGTTCATCTTATTTATTTTTCTACTTTATTTCTCAAATTTATGTTTTACATATTGTTGTCTATGTTTTGCGCATATCAAACACATGACCTAAATCAATCGATCCTCATCTATTTCCTAACAAATTGGTATCAAGAGCTTAGTTATAGAAATTTTAATTTAGGTTTTAGGTTTTTTGGAGTGTTTGATATTTTGTTTGATAGCAAAATTCTGAATATTTTTTTGAGAAATATTTGATTTGTCGATGTTTCGACTTTTGGTGTTTGAAGATGATGTTATTCCAAATTTTGAAGGGGATAGTTTGAGAGACTATGGTGATAAATTTATATGATCTTTGTGATCTTGAAGGTAATTCGTTTATGTCTCGTTTGCTTTATGGTTATTGAAAACTTAATGATTGGCCATGGTTTCAAATTCTCAATGAACTTATTTTTGTTGAATTTTTTTTGAGATGTTGGTGAATTTGGGAAACCATATTTAGGATTGGAGTTTTTGGTCATTGGTTGCTTTTGATTTATTTTGCAATCTTGATTATGGTTGGATGCACAATGAAGGAAAAGTGCTCACCTTGTATCTATTGCGTGCTTAGGATTTTTTTTTTGGTGTTCTTCTTAGAGACGTGTTTGATGAAAGGTGGTTTAGAGAGAGATGGGTCGATTTTGTATGCATATCTCAAGTATGCTTGATGTGTTGTGACATTATGCTCTCATTAGGCCGTATATTGGCGTTACGGGATTGTGTGATCGGAGACACGCCGATTCACATGTTATTGGTTTACCCGTTGGATGTCTCTTAACTTTATACTAGTGCTCAAATTATTTGTTTGATATGGAGTCCATTCCTTCTGGGACTTCTTTGGTAATTTGATTTACGGTATGGATAGATGCTTTCATGATTTTCTGGTTTTTTTGGTTTGTTGATAGATTTCAATTCAAGGTGGAGATTTGTAAAAATGACTTGAAATCTAGTACAATGGCAAAGGGTCAACTTCAAACGTACATATCTCTCAATCCAGAAGTAATCTTGAGGTGATTCAAGTTGGAGGTGATAGCTTGTTTAAGAGCTTTCCAAGATAGGTCATATGCCCAATTTCGATAAGAAACAAGAAAGTTATGGCTGTTTTACGAAAACCTGGCGAAGCTGAAAAATTGCGACGAGCGGGAGAGCTATATCTTTAGGCGAGTGAGCTATAGCTCGGCCCTATGAAGACTTGCAGCAGGCTTGAGCTAGCTGTCAAGCTATAGCTCGGTAGTTCGGTTCTTCTAGGATAATTTATGGGATATTTATTAAAATTATATCTTTTCTTATGACGGCTACTAATGATATTCCTTGAGGAATAATATAAAGTTTTTTTAGGGTTTGCTTATGTTATATAAGGAGCCGTTGGGTAGACAATTAGAAGTGCTAAAAATTAATTAGCCTAGCCAATTCAAGCCAATATGTAACTCCATTAAGATATTTTCTGAGATGGAGAGTGTTGTATCTCCTTTGTTTTATCTCTTGTTTATCCTCCATGAAAGCTAATAAGAAAATACTATCCCTTACCCTGTGGACGTAGGTCTTATTGACCTAACCACGTATATCTGTGTGTTCATCTCATCTATTTTTCTACTTTATTTCTCAAATTTATATTTTATATATTTTTGTCTATGTTCCGCACATATCAAAAACATGACCTAAATCAATCGATCCTCATCTATTTCAATGTATGATTTCAAGTACTTCATCCTTTTTTTTTATTTGACCTGATTCATTAATCACGTTTGCCAGTGCATAAATTTAAGGTGTAATATCTTAAATTCTTGGTAAGTAAAATTTATAACAGATAAAAATTATGATACTGTAAGAATTATATTGAGGCAATATAAATAGAATCCACACAACAATGTTATTCCTTATGTATAAATAACAAAAAACGGTCAAAGGTACGTAATCTTATGTTTGATTGTATGTTGTAAAAGTCAAACTAGATCAAGTAAAAAAGAACAGGTGAAATATTTACTTTTTATATATGTTCACTGATAATTAAAAATATTATTGGCCAATATGTCGGTGGAATTATATATCGGTTGAATTATATGCCCATATATGTTTCCGTGTCCTATATGTCTAATAAAAAATAAAAATTGGTCTCAAAATTCAGTTGCTCATCACCCCGCTAGTTTAGTACCTTTCGGTGTAGAACAAGTTTGGGAGAATTTTTACCCTTCTGTAATCTCTCCTTCTTTTCCTTCTCACTCTCATCCATAGAAATCACATCTGACTTCTCCAATCTCCATTAAAGTTGTCTTATGATCATTCATCCATAGAATACACAATCATTCTAATACATTATACACATATAAGTGATATAACAATAAAAAATGACAAAATTATGAGAATCCATTGAACATATAATCATTCCCGCATTATATATATGATTGATAATTGCAAAAAATAAAAAATAAAAAAAATAAATTGCTTAACAAATATACAATATAGAGATTTGGACCTATGGACTGGAAATCCTTAATTAACAACAAAATTAAGAGTTTAAAGTTTAAGGAATTGGTAGTAGAGAAGATAGGTGGGGTGCGGTGGAGTTTCTGTTGGTGGCTGAGAAACGGCCGAAAATATCGTAACTCGCAATCTTGCCAGGTGAAAACGCCTAAATTTCTCGTTGCTACATACAAGTTCCGAAATTTTCAGGTGGTTTGTTGGAATCGCCTAAATATTTCGTAACCTGCAGGTGGGAAAGAAAAATCCAGGTGTTTTCACCTACGGGTTACGAGATTTTTTGGGTGTTTCCTTTTTTTTTAAAAAAAAAAAAATCAGAATGGTGGTGGTAGGCCTGGTGAATGTTGGTGTTAGTGGTGGTGGCTGGCGAGGAGATAGTGGTGGTGGCGGTGGGGTTAATGGTGGTGCTTCAATGGCGTAGTCCATATGAAGAAAGCTCATAATGCCAGACTGCATCAATGAGGGAAAAAGCTCATAAGCCCACCTTTAATGGAGAATGCTTCAATGGAGGAGAACACTCATAAGCAAGCTCATAAGCCCACTTTAATGGAGAAATGCTTCAATGGAGGTAAAAGCTCATAAGCCACCAAAAATAACAGTCAAATTTTTTGGGGAGTAAAATCGTTGAGATTGGTAAAATTAATTATTTTTATAACAAGGATAAGCAAGTAATTTTAGGTTAATTTTCGGGCATTAATTGGAGATTTAAGGGTGACGTTTAGCGTTCCACTTAATGAAATGTTGTATTAAATATCTTTAAAAAAAAAATGGTTTGTAAAAGGATTTTAAAAAGTGAAAGCCTTAAAAAGGAAAAAAGAAAAAGCAAAAATGTGCACAAAAGCGGTTACAAATTGCATAAAATATTAGCATGAAAATATTGATTTGAGTTACTCAATCATCTTCTTCTTTCACGTTCTTCGTGCTTTATTGGTTCTCCCCAACCACATTTTTTAAAAAAAAGAACAAAAAAAGAGAAAAAGAGCATTTTTTCCTATGAGAAAGTGAGTTTTATAGGCTTTATTTTAATTTCTTTCTTTTTCTCAGGTTCTTTTTTCCTTCTTTATTTACTTTAAAACAACTTTCTCAACTGATTTGTGGGATTTTTACAAGACTGAAAAAGTGTCTTTTATGTTGTGTTTCTTTTATCTGGGTCTATAAAATTATTTTTTTTTTAAGTTATGAAATTAAGTTAAGAATTGAATTTTGAGTCAAAAAATGAGCAAAGAAAATATGTCAGTAGCAGTAGCAGTAGCAAATAAGGATTCAGCAATCAAGTTATTTGGAAGAACAATTTCTTTGCCTGAAACCCAGTTTTTAGAAGGCTCTGAATATAAGGTATTTTTCTTGACTACTTTTTGGCTGCTTTTTTATTGTTTATATATATATATATATATATATATATATATATATATATATATATATATATATATATATATATATATATATATATATAAATGTATGTATTATTTGATGAATTTATGTACAAGTATATTTTTCTGGGTTTTAGGTAAATGGGTTTTGTTAATGTTGTTTTTAAAGGGTTATTTTAAGTGGGTTTTTCTCAGCTTGATTTTTTATTTCACTAGTCATTTTATAGTGTATATATGCAATTTTGGTGATATTCTTGTATTTAATGAATACTTCCATAGTTCCATAAAAGTTTAGTTTTCTTATGAGTTGTAATTTAGTGACATCTTCACCATACAACTGGTTGTCCAATTTGCTCATTTGCATGAATGACAGAATGAGCAAACTAGTTTTGTTCATTTGCACAAATGAGGATATCGGCTTTACTCCTATTTGACAAATTTGCTCATTTTGTACTGGTAAGAAAAACTAAGGGAAATGAGAAAATAAGATGAACAAAATTACTTTGCTCATTTGTGCAAATGAGCTTTTGTGAGAAAAAGTTTACATTGCAAGGTACAATTGGTTGTATGATAAAATTTGGCGTAAGTTTGGGTCAAATGAATATAAGTTGGTGATGATCAAAATTTTCGTTGGGGAAATTATTTTAGCATTTGAATGAGATGAACAAGGAAGAGTGTGTTTTGAAATTGTTAATTTGGTGTTAAGTGGTCCTGAAATCTCTATGTTCCAAAGAAAGTTTGATGTTTGCATTGCTGGGCTACTGGTCAGCCTATGAGTGCTCTTTTGCCTGTATTGCCACTCATTGGCTGTCTAAGCTTCATTCGGGTAAGGGGGAGGGTTGGGGTAGCCTAAAACTTTGTCACATCCATCGGCATGAGCCATGGTTTTTTGCAATGCACAGTTGCAGTCTAATCTGTAATGATCAGCTTCAAGAGTTCCTGACATGTAAGATGTAACCTCAGACCAGTTTATTCATTTACGAGTATTTGTGTGATTGTCAAACTCAGATAATATCTGTAAACTTTTTATGATTTTGGCTCTAAATGAATTGTTAAGTGTGCATACACATGTAGGATTCTCAAGAATTTGACCTGGGTACTTAAGTTTTGAGTAACATAGCCTATCATGAAGTTCAACATTCATTGAATTACCACTCACAAATGTTAGTTGACTAGTTCACAACACACAAAAGCCAATTATGATAGGACACACATATATTTTTTTCACCCGGGTTCTTGTGATACCCTCAAGTTCGGTTTGTTCAGAGGATTTGCATTTCAGTGAATCTGAATTGCTGTGCAACGCTATCTGCTATAGCATTATTCTAGTGCCTCTTCCAACTCCTTACAAGTTCAGTTTTATATGTGTATGATTTAGAAACCTTGTATTTGGATGGTTGTATTGTAATGAGACCATTGGCTGGGAAGACTAGTACTATTTCAACGAAATAAATGTATTCTGCTGCTATCAATCACTCATATCAACTCCCTTGCCGAATAACTTTATGAGGCTCTCTCTCTCTCTATTTTTTTTTTTTTTTTTTTTTTTTTTGTATGAGGGTGGGGGAATTGCATTTTATTGTTATCTCATCGATTTAAAAGATCTTAGACATGCCTATTTTCCTAAACTTTATTCTAGTGTTTATTTATACTTAATCTTTCACCACATTCTTGTGTCCTGCATCTTTGTTCTTTATTAAGCTTGAAATTCTATTCCTTGGAATCTTGGTGAAAAGTCTTCAAGTGACGGAGAGACATCTGACAACTTGTATACATGATCAATTGTGGATTTACATTTGCTGTCTGCTGAGGTTCTCATCATCTTGAATATTAGAATGTTCCTATCTGGTTCCGTTACATAGTAGATGAATGAACTTCTATGTGATATGTTTTAGAGGAATATACTTGTTTTCATTCTGAGATTGTTCAACCTTGATTAGTGTATTTTCTAAGTTGTCATTTTTCTGAGTTGTAGGACAATGGATCCAGCTTCATGGTGAAAAAAGAAACAGTGGAATTAGAAAACGAGAACTCTATGCAGCATGAGGTTGTTTCCATGAAACAGTCAATTACTTCACAAGCAACTATGAAGCCCAGTGGTTACCAGGAAGACTCTGATGGCGCGGGAGAACAAAAACAAATGAGAAGACCGGACAAGATCCTTCCATGTCCGCGTTGTAACAGCTCAGATACTAAATTCTGCTACTTCAATAACTACAATGTCCATCAACCTAGACACTTCTGCAAAAGCTGTCAAAGGTATTGGACAGCGGGAGGTACTGTCAGAAATGTCCCTGTTGGTGCAGGGCGGCGGAGAAATAAGCATTTAGCTTCTCAATACCGTCAAGTAATTGCATCCTCTGATGGCGGAGACACATTAATGGTTGAGGTTGGGGACTCAGCCAATGAACTACGATCTTGCGAAGAATCTTCTACTTCCTGTACGGGCTCTAGTCCAAAAGAAATGTTCCTCAAATTCGGTCCCCAATCACCTCAATGTGACAGTTCCACGCCAAACATGTCGTCCAACAGACAGAATAATGGATACTCTCAGATAGGAGGGATCAACAGTGATATTCCTTCGCAACACCATTTGTATCATTACATTGTTCCTTCGCAGGTTACTACTTCAAGCCCTCATTCTAATTGTTCAGTTTCTTTGGCAGTTCCTGTATCTGCCACACCTAATATTTCTTATCAGATAGTTCCTACTGCGTATATGAACTACATCCCTGCTGTTTGGGTTGCTGGGTCGGAAAATTTATCATTACCTATGTCAAATGGGTGTGTTTCTCCCACTAGCGGTCATCTGCAAGTTCTAGGCAAGCATTATAGAGATATAAATTCATCACAAGATCGTAGACTTGAAGAGAGCTTAACTCCAAAAATACTAAAAATTCATGTAGATGATGCATGAAAAATTATCATTCTGCAAGTATTTGGCGATCAAGATTTGAAAGAAGGGGCATGTACAGGAGTTTGTCAATCTAACAGAAGTGATGGCTGTTCAATGGCTGCAGTTTTACATGTCCGAAATCTTGTGATTGAGCACGCGCAAAAGTGGTCATTAGAGACTCAAGCAGGAAATTTGGTGGAATGCATCATGCTTCCATTCAACTTTTCCTGTTACCATAGTGCAGCAGAAAAGTTTTCGTGTTGATGTGACAGAAATCGCATAAATCTGACTAGGAAGATGCAGTACTTGAAGAAACAGACATACAGCTGAAATGTCAGTTGTCAGATGATCCGATTTGTCTTACAAGTTGGGTGGTTGAATCAATGACATGTAGTTATCATCCAAAGCAAGGTCTTGTGTGGATTTTTAAAATCTGCCTTTTCATAGGTAAAGTGAAAAAATTGTTCTAAGAATGTTGGGATGTAGTAGTAGTTTTTCATCTACAAACTAGCTACTTTTCAGGCAATTGTTGACAAAAATGTAGCTAAATGATAAAGAAGATTTTTTCTTTTTGTTCCTTAGTTGAAAGCTAAGGACTCTTGCTGTTTAATTTGATGACTCCATTGTTCTCTGATGAAAGTGATGAATACTCTTTCCATTTAAATCTATACATCTTAAACAATTTCTAGATCGACACTTGCTCCAAAGAGCTCGAAACAGTCGAGCATATGTTGTATGCATGTACTGTTCGAACTGCATCGTGACATTTGATTCCTTGAATTACACCAACTTATATAAGCAACACAAAAGCAATGAAGAAAAACAATTATTTGGTATTGTACAATTAGTCTATTAGATATGCATTGCAATTAATAGTCATACATAATCAAGCTTGCTTGGTGAAGGTCACTTTGTCTGATCAAGGTCATTCTCCTTGCCTTTTTTTTTTTAAAAAAAAAAACACATACGAATAACATAAGATACCCGTGTAAAAGTTAACATTTTCTTTTCTTATTTTTCACTATGAACCTGTATGAAATTAGCGGCAAATATATTTACTGAGCCATCATACTCAAATTTGAATGACGTCTGTGTTTTCCTTTAGTTTATGTTTGGACGTATTTGGATATAGGATGGTGAAAGGGAAAAGAAATAATGTGTAGGCATTCATTTTTCTCCCCCTTACCATAAACTGCCCTTTTACATTCAGAATGATTTGGAATGTCTTGATCTCTAATCTCTAACCGAGTGTTAGAATATGCTTTGAACAATATGTTTACCCTTATCCCTTATGAACGACCTAGCATAGGGATTTAGTAATTTCCTGCTATATTGGGCTACGGTTTTATGTTTAGGCTTGTTTTTAAGGCCTTTTTCGTTTTTGTTTTGGGAGTACTATATAAACTCTTTTTTAGGCCATCATATACTGTAATTTGTATTATTCCTCAAGATTATGTTGCCTACATGTGGATGTTAATTTATTGTTAATGAACCATGTATATCTGTGTTCTTTTTCGTCGTTGTTTGTTAATATTTTTACATCTATTATAACAAGCATTGAGATTTGAGCATGATGAGCTTATCTTTTAGAGAAGGTTCTTACAACCAAGTATCAATTTTGTAATTCTGAATGATTGAATGAACGAACATGATGATTGTTGATGAGGATGACATATATTGAAAATACTTTCATTCTACTAAGTATACATACTAAATCATGATTGAGCATTTAACAGTCTCTTCAGAAGTTTATTATGTATTGAAATGCCTAGGAATTTTTCCTAAGGTATTACTGTATCATACAAGTCCAACATACTAAACTTTTTTAACCATTTTGAACTCTACAATTTCTTCTTATTTCCCCTTCATTACCCTCAAGCACTAGCAAACTCCCTAGCTTGACAATCACCTTTGTAAAATGTCGTCGAAACAACCCATTATTTGCAGCCAACTTTGCTACAAACACAGAACTCGCTTTGTCCTCTGCAATCGCCTGGTCAATCTGTAGCACACCTTTCCGCCTAACAATCTGCTTGTAGTACATGTTATCAAACACAAACGACGTGTTTTGGTCTAAAAATGCAGTACGATCCTCACTCTTTAACCCACATATCTTCTTCAACTTCTTGAGCAATTCTTGGTCTATTTTAGGATCTGCTGCACCACTTCCTCGAAAGTTCGATAGCCTGTCCTGAAAGAAACTGCAATGAGCAGTTCCAACAGTGTGAGCTCCCAAGATTATGACCATCTCATTGAGGGTTAACCCATGAGCTTTAAAGGCTAGTCGAGCCTCCGAGACAGTGGATGATGGGCCGGGCAGGTTCACCTCACTGGATCTTGAAATGAGCCCGTCTCTTCGGCCTGTTGGCACGTCGTACTTTGGGCCTCCTGCTAGGCCTACAGCATCTCGAGTTGCTAGTGCTATGATGTCTGCACAAGAGACTGTTTGTGGACACTTATCTTCTAGGGTGGCCTTGATTTTGTCTATGAGTTCGTATCCTCGAACACCAAAGTTAGCCCCTGCTGCTTTCTCTGCTTGGTTGCTGTGGGTTGAGTCTATGAGCAGAGAAGCATCACAACCCTGCTAAAAGTAAGAAATTTTGAGGAGTACTCTATCAATCGATTTCTTTAAAAATGCATCACTTGACTTTTTGCATTTTATACACAAGTATATTATTCTGACATGATTTTTTGCAATTTTGCGTAGTAAACTTTAAATCAAGGCCGTCTTAAACTTTTCAGGAGGCACTATGCTATAAGAAAAAAATTATCAAGCCCTAATGAACAGTTATTTTAAATATTTCGTTCAATTCACACTTCTTTAGTTATATATAAAGTCTTAATAAAATTATCCAATCTAACCAACATGTAAGTAATAATAAAGATTCACTAGACATTTGTTTTAACTTCAATTAAAGTTCCATATTTTGGGCCCTAGAAAATTTGAGGCCTTGTTTTATTGGGCTATTTGTACAGCCCATAGTCGGCCCTACTTCAAATCCATATATGTAATACGAGTACGTTATTGGATTAGTTACGTTTTACATAGTTTTGAAATATCAACAATTTATAATTATATACAATGTATGATTTAAGAATGTTCAAATTTATGTGTGAAAAGACTGAAAAGGTCCTATTCAAAGAGTGCAATTAAAAGAAATAGTGGGATTAATTAAATGGTGAGTAAGTCTTTTATGCGGCTATCCACACAGTGTGGCCACATTAATTTATAAAACAAATCCTTATTTATATATATGAGTAACTCTATTTATTCATAAGAGTAACTTCATTTTGTCCATTAAAGTAACTCCAATTCATTATATGAGTAATATCAACTAATTTAGAAATAAGTAACCCCATTTGTTCATTCGAGTAACCCCTATTTTTTTATTTAAAAAATTTGAAAGAATGGTTCCACTTATGTAAGAGAGTAATACCTTTTTTTATTTAAGTAACTCACATACATCAAGGTAACCTCATTTGCTCATCACCGTAATATCCTATTACTCCGTACTTAATTAATTCTCTTATTGTGAAGTGGCCACACTACTAGCCACATATAAAAATTTGTGTTAAATGATCAATTGATCATCATGCATGGTTTACTACTTTACTATTTTATTTACAAGATAAATTATTACGTACAGAAATGAATCTAGGATTACATATACCGAGTAAGTTGGCACATTCAAACAATTATTTCCCGATTTAGGAATACTTGTTTTCTTTTGGGGGTTATAACTTTAAGCAAGTATTTTCATGGAGGTTGTTAAGATATCACATTATTAAGAGAAGATTGGAATAGTATACGAGTAAAAATAAACTTACCAAAAGTCGATCTTTTGTTATATATGTGACATTTTTATTTCAGTTATTTCATCAAATACCATTGAGTTTTTTAAAAATTCACCAAATGCCATTAAGTTTTCACAAATTCACCAAATGTCACCGATCTTTTAAAAAATTCACCAAATGCCATTAATGACTAACAGCCGTTAACTCTGTTAGTCATGAGGATTAAATCATGACACGTGTCATGATATGATTGGTTCATTTTAATCATTTATTTTAAATAATAAAAATAATATTTTTTCTCGATTTTCGTGGCGAAAATTGCTCGAGTAAAATTTTGGAGGTCATTTTGACCCTTTATGAATTCAAATTAAGCTCGGAATTAGCAAAACAATAATGTAAATGTCCTATTTTGTGTGTCGAAAAATATTTTGATTAGCGTGTCGTTATTTTTTAACCATGAAAATTGACCGGGTAAGATTTGGGGGGTCATTTTGATCTTTTATGGATTCAAATTAAGCTCGGAATTTGCCAAAAAAAAAAAAAACCGTAAATACTCCGTTTTGCAATTTTTCCAGCAAAAAAATTATGATCTCGACATACAAAATGAGGCTTTTCAGTTATTTTTTTGCCAATTTCGAGCTTAATTTGAATCCGTAAAGGGTCAAAATGACCCCCAAAACCTTACCCGGTCAATTTTAATGGTTAAAAAATAGCGACACACTAATCAAGTTAATTTTTGGCACACAAAACGGGGCATTTACGTTATTTTTTTGTCAATTCCGAGCTTAATTTGAATCCATAAAGGGTCAAAAGACCCCCAAAATGTTACCCGAGCAATTTTTGTCACGAAAATTGAGAAAAAAAGTATTATTTTTATTATTTAAAATAAATGATTAAAATGAACAATCATATCATGACACGTGTCATGATTTAATCCTAATGACTAACGGAGACCATTAGTCATTAATGACATTTGGTGAATTTTTTAAAAACTCGGTGGCATTTGGTGAATTTGTAAATACTTGATGGCATTTGGTGAATGTTAAAAAAAACTTGGTGAAATAACCGTTTTTATTTTGAATAATATATGTGACATTTAACGGTGGAAGATGCTAACTTAAATTTTGGGACTGGTCTGGAGTATATTTAAGCATACCAAATCTAACATAATGAGAAGATTGTAAATCACAAAAGACAATTAAAGGGGATTTGTGTGAATAGTGTAAAATTTTAAACATTACTAATAAAAAAGAATGGTGGAACATTTTTGCTTAAATTTGTGACAAGAGTTTATTTATGCATACCAAAAACCTAATAATGTATTGATGATAAATATTTCCTTTATACTTCTCCCACTCTCAAAGTATCCATCGATACTCTACATAGCATGCAGAGTTACTACTTACTACTGATTAAGAACTCAATAGTTGAGGAGAAAAAATAGGATTTTTTTTTTCCCCTTTTTTTTTTGTTTCAAAGCGTGAGCCTTTGATTGACATATTTTACAATTTGGGAATTTAACAAAAATAATAACAAATCAAAGTGTAGCTTTCTATAATCTCATATTAGTAAAATTAGAAAAAATCATTTACTAATAGTCAAATAAACATCCCTTCCCAGAAAAAAAATAAATAAATAATGTGGGCTGAGGAAATTTTATTACATACATACGAGTATGATTATCTTTCATTATATGGTACAAGTAACATAATTCATTACAAACGATTATATAATCAAACTATTAATAAAAATATTAAACATGCAATTAAGGCTGAAAGAGAGGAAAATAAATGAACTTGTTACCCTGATAAAACAATCATGGTAATGCATACGAAGTAAGGCTGAAGCAACAGACTTATCTTCAACAAAACGACGTTCCACAATATCGCGAATAATTGATTCAACCGAAGGGCAAGAGTTTTTATAGAAACCAACTCGAAGAGAAGCTAGAGTAAGAGGACAAGTGACGCAAAGGTATACCAAAGAAGCTTTCATGAAGTTGTAGTTTTTCACCATGGTTCTTTGGATTAATAAGCTTTCATGCATAAAGTTGTATAAACGTGTTTGTAGTTGTTGAATTAATAAGTTTAATTGATAGTGGCTAGATAAAGTGGGTATATATAATCAAATAAACTTAAAAGAATGTATTTTATTTAATTATTTTATTAATATTATGAAATTAAATTTAAAGAGTGTAGTTGAGGCAAAATAAAACTCTATAAGAAAAGGGGCTGAAGATAAAAAGTTAAAGAAGATATAGACATTTAGTATATGGATTACAAGAAATAGAGATAGAAGCCTTTGTCATTATTGACAATTCCATTCATTATCTCACGTTCAATTAATAGTGACATAAAATTGTACCGTTTTATATGTTAAAATTGACATGATAAAAAGTTACTCTAATTCTTAAAGTTTCTATTCACAATTCTTCTTTGAGTAAATTTTGTAATTTATACTCCCTCTGTCCTATAATATAGTTCCGATTTTTCTATTTTGGAGTTTCAAAATGTCGTTCCTGTTTCTATTTTTGGATAGTATGTAAAGACCATTACACCCTCACCTTTTTAACTTTATTCATTGTACTTCCTAATTTACCTTTGAAATTTGCACATGCCTTGTACTTTTTTCACTTCTCTCTCTAACTTTTGTCTATGATTGTACTTTTCACTTTTATTAATGTTTTTCATCCACTTTCTCCTCCTATTTCTTAAATATCGCGAAAAAACACAAACAAAAACTACATTATGGGACGGAGGGAGTAATTTTTATCAAACTCACGTGGGATCATGTGTAAAAATCTCTTAATGTATATTTTTATAATACTCCCTCTATTCCACAATGATTCCTATTTGGAATCTTTGACATTTAAAAAATAAGAGAGAATCTTCTAAATTTCTCTCAATCTATAAGAACAAATGTAGTCATGTGGGATCTAGTTTGATTCGTCTTAGTGAGTACCTTATTAATATTTAACTTTTATAATTTTTACTAGTACGAGATAAAAGATATTTGCGGTCAAAGATAGGTAAAAACTTGCATCGATTTACGTAAACAGGAACATCATTATGAAATGGAAGGAGTATTAAATTTTTTAGAAATTTTATACTTGTTAATATTTAAAGATAATAGGTAAAGTATACATTTACACTCAGTGTAATCTAAAGTATCTTTAGACACCTGATTGTGTCTCCCCAAAAACCAAACACAGTGATGAGTACCTTTCACGTTTTTGATTATCAAGTTAGGTGAAGAGTTAAAGAGTCTTGTGAATTTCCCTTAAGCCTTAGTTATTTCTAACCTTCCTTAAAATATTTTAATCCAAAATCATTCATTTCGTGTCTTTGAAAATCATTCATTTCGTGTCCTCTTTATAAAACGTCCAAACCAGATTATTTTGGTCTATAATCTTGGTCCAATTATTATTTAGTTGAATGGGGGTTTGGAAAGAGCTTTTCAACAATATATTATAAGCCCAACACTAGTAGAAAAAATGAAATAGGCACGCCCCTTTTAGCCTAAAAACCGGTGCCAAAAGAAATGGGCGGGATTGAAAAAATCAGTGTTGGCACCGGTTCCAACCAAAACTGGTGCCAATCATTTAATTAGCACCGGTTCAAACCGGTGCCAACTTATTAAAAAAAACCGGGCTCCTGCTTTTCTTTCTTTCTTTGTTTCCCCCCGTTTTTTCCATCTTCTGTTTTCCCTAGCTCTAGTTTTCGCCTTCAATTCTCTTACTTCCACCATCCCGAATTTTCACCTTCTCCATTGAAGTGGTTTACGAGCTTTCTCACTCCATTGAAGCAGCACCTCCTTCTCTCTCCATATCTCTGGCCTCCATTGAACTCTTGCTCTATATTCTCCATTGAAGCCGATTTTGAGCTTTCTCACCTCCATTGAAGCAGCTTCGAGGTAATGTGGTCTTCTTAATCTACTGAATTCCTTCGCAATCTAGGGTTTGTCGTTGATTTGGTTTTCAATTTCGTAATTTTAGGGTTCTGGTTTTATTTCTATTTTTTTCTAATTTAGTTTCAATTAATTAACCATAAACCCTAAGTTTTTTGATTTTAATATTTTTTATTCTATCATTTGTAGGAATTGTAGATCTAGTTTGTTTGCTCCTCAAAAAAGAGTTCAAATTCAAAGGTTAGTGGCTATTTTTTCCAATGCTCTTATAGTTTTTTATATGTGCTAGTTATTAGTAGCAAAAATGGTACAAAATGATCTTATAGTTGGTTGTTTGATTGGATTTTGATATAAAATGTAGGAGGAAGCAAGAGCAGTAGGGTTGCTGAGAAGTGAGAAAATGGCAAATTCAGTTGGGTGTTGCTGTGAGGGTGATGAGAGATTGCTAGTTGCTGAGTTCATGCCCAATGAAACACTTTCTAAGCATCTCTTTCACTGTGAGTATCATCTAAATTCATAACTTTCTTGTTTAAGATTGAAATGTTGTGACCTTGACTATGCATTTGTTATTTTTCTATCAAAGGGACTTTGTATGTGTCGTGTTGAATTAGGCATTGCTTTTGTGTTTTCGATATGTAATAATCAATGAGGTATGATTACCATGGTATGTTGCTTGAAGATGCTAGAGTTTATGCCTATTATTAATTTTCGAGAAAGCATAATGTTTTCGACAAGGCTGTGATCCTTCCTATGAAATTATGTAAGTCAATTTGTGTGGAGGTGATGGGGAGAATTCAGCAATTGATGATAGGGCTTGGAATAGGAATCATTGCAAGTGGGTGCAATTGTTAAAGTGTAATATGCCTGGTGTTTGATGTTCTGGTTGTTGCTGGAATTCTGGTCCTGTTTTTGTTTGTGTTTAAATGGTCTCTGAAGCTGTCTGGTAAGCTTGCTGATCTTTTGATGTTTGTCTGCCTGCTGCCTTAGCTGGACCTGCTGATCCCTGCTCGTGTTCTTATCTGGATATGCTGATTTATGTTCATGTTTCTGTCTCTGTGCTAGGGCCTTGAGTGCTGTTTTTTGATTTGTGTTGCTGACTTTTTGAGTTGCTGGGTTGCTGTGCTCCTGATGCAGGCTGGGTGCAGTGCTAGGGCTGTGTTTCTGCATTTCTGTGCAGGATGGTGTGCTTGTCTTTGTTTTTATTGTCTTGCTGGCTGGTTCTGTCTCTGTCAGGGCCTCTAGGGAGTTTCTGTCTCTGTCAGGGCCTGTAGGGAGTTTCTGGCCTGATGCTGTGCTTTCGTTTTTTCTGGGTTGCATTGCTGTGTGTTGTTGTGTTGTGTCTTGGAGCTGCTGCGTTCTTGTGATGCTGAGTTCTTGTTTTCTGGGTTGCCGAGGTGCTGGTGCAGGCTGTGTTTTAGGGGTCTGCAGGGAGCTTCTGTCTGGCTGCTGTGTTTTCGTTCTTCCTGATTATCTTCCTGTCGCCTGCAACAATGGTTCTCACTCTCTCTTTACTCTTGCTGTTAATCTTACGATTCGCGTTTCTTTTTTTTTTTTTTTTTTTTTTTAATTAGATTCAGTGAATTTTACTTGGTTTCTTAGTCTTCAAAGTTAGAATTTTGCTTATTTTTTTTCGATATTTTGTTGGTTGTTTTAGTGAATTATCTTCACTTTTTCGGCTGAATTATCATCAATTTTGGCGATGAAATTTTATTAAAATTTTGATATATAAATATTTGAAGTTAGATTTTGTGGAATGAAACTAATTTTTGCTTCGATTTGTGCGATTTTTTGTTTAAATATAAGGTTATAGTGTTAAATAATCTTTGGATATACAGAGATTTGAAGCTGGAATTTGTAAAACTAAACTAATTTTTTATTCGACTTGTGCGATTTTTGTTTCAATATAAAGTTTAAATTTCTGTAAATCCGAGCTATACTATTAATAATTCGTGCTATCTGAAGAACTCGTAATTTTCTTTTTTGTTTCAAACAAAATGTATCGATTAGACTCATTTATGTTAATTGCCCGACATTGTAATGGTTTATTATTGTTCTGATTCTGATTTAAGGTTATTTCTGTGATGAATGTTTCTGCTGCAACTGTTATGATGTTAAATGTTGTGTTCAGATTTTAATTACTTAGCTGATGCACGTTGTTTATAATAAATACATGTTACGAGGTATATGTACCGCGATTTTAATTTCTTGTTCTGACCAACTCTCTTTTTACATCTTGGATTTGTGGAGTGAGGGCTGTGATGTTTCTTGTTCTGATGTTTGATATTGATTTGTATTTCTATACTAATCACTCATTCAATTGGTATCTGATTTTGGTACTTGAGTAATCTGTGAGAACTTCTTCTGATTCGTATTGCTTCTGATGACAGGTGAATGTACCTAAGGTGAAGAAGACTTACTGCAAGAACAAGGAGTGCAGAAAGCATACCCAGCACAAGGTGACCCAGTACAAGAAGGGTAAGGTTATATTGTTTATTGGACCCGGAATGTCCCCATCAATCAAACCCATCAAAACGTATGTTGAATCAGCTTGCCTATATTGTTTATTTCTTCACTGCATTAGGACATCAAAGCAATAACGAGCAAGACAGCCCAGCAAACAGGAGCACATCAGAGCGTCACCAGCACAGCACCACAGCAGTTCACCAGTACCGCAAGACAGAGGACCACGCAGCAGAACCCAGCAAACACAGCAGCCTGACCAGCAAGCAACACTACAGCAGAGCAGCAAACACCCAGCACTACAGCAGAGCAGCAAACACCCAGCATAGCCTAACCAGAGCAGAACAGAAACACAGCAGCTCAAGAACTCAAACCAGTCCCCCAGCCAGCCTGAACATAACAGAGACACAACCATAGAAGCAAATAGATGCCCAGCTAGCATGAACAGGCAGAGGCACAGCAGCGCAGGAGAACAGAAACAGCAGAGCAGCCTGGATTATTTAATTTTTTTTGGACGAAAATTGTAATATTACAGCCTTTTTTGATGAAAATATGTAACTTTATATATATGTTAATGTATCTACATCAATTTAAGTGAAAAAATGCAATTTTTTTTTTGGCACCGGTTTTGACCAGAACCTGTGCCTAAAGTGGGGTTTTTTGCACCGGTTCTTGCTTTGAACCGGTGCCAATAGTATTGAAAATGAATAAAAAAAA